CGCCCGCCGTTCTGTTTACCAGCGCCTGGGTGACAAGAGCCAGGACAACCGCGATCTTCGGGAGGTCATCGAGCGAGGCAAAGCTATAGGGTGAGACACTGACCAAGTTGCGGCCCTCAAGCGCAGAATCGCCGAACTGGAGGGCCGACACCCCTCTAGGAGTGAGCTATCCCTCTCTCCCTATCCGCAATCTTACGCACGACCGACTCCCCGAGTCGTGGACAACGCTTCACCTCTCTCCCCCGACATCTTACAGGAAGCCGTCCCGAAGAAGATAAAGGTGCCGCAGCTCGGCCTCTACGACGGGAGTTTGGATCCCGACTCCCACATCGACCTCTACACCTCTTGGATGGACCTGCACGGTGCAACAAACGCCCTACGTTGCCGCATGTTCTCTTTAATGCTGGGACCGAAAGCACAAAGGTGGTACCACTAATGTAAAACGTATTCTCAGAATATGTTTTATGCGCATGAAAATGTCACGGGTCGCGACTTGCGACTTATCATGTCGCGTGTCGCTACACATCTCGCGACTCGTGAGAAAAAAACAGAGGATCAACCTTTCCCTAGGGACAACTCGCGAGTCGCGACTTCTCATGTCGCGAATTGCGAATATAAAACGTATTCGGAGAATACGTTGTAGTTTAATTTTTTTTAATAAAATGTATTATACGAATACGTTTTATACTGTAATATGAAAAAAAACTAGTTTTTTCAATTGTTTAACCCAAAAAAACTTGTTGTAAACATTCAAAACAACCAACTAAACCGAAAATACTCTAACAAATTAACCAATCTACCCTAAATACCACAACAAGGGTTTTAAATAAATCATCCAAACAAATCCAACTAAACAATCCAAAAAAATCCAACTAAACAATCCAAACAAATCCAAATCAACCATCCAAACAAATCAAAATAACACTAACAAATCTTGTTTTCCCACACATCACGAAATCTAGATCTATCGGTGCGAGGATGTGAGGACGGACACTCATCCACAACATGATCTGGATTACCACATCTAGTACACTGTCCCCTATCATTTCTGTAGAGTGCCCGACGATCCATTTGCATGGTCGAAAGAGTAAGATTTCTAATTCTTCCGATAGCGTCTCGTTTGCATGTGACCGGGTCCAAGCTTCAAGATGATCCTCTCCCAATGTGGTATCAAATTCCATCCGACCGGCGCCCAGGTATCCGGATTACCAATTGGAGCAAAACTCCAATTAGTAAATTGAGCTAGCCAGGTATCCGTCCAAAAGTGCGAATCGTATAAGAACTTTGGTGGATCCCCAATGTGATGACAAACAGATATTGCATGAGAGCATAGTTTCCTATGTGTCTGCCACTTCCAACAACTACAACATTTTCGGTGGTAATATACCTGTATCTCCCCAGTGATTTATATATATAAAAAACCAAAAATTTGAATGGACTAAAAAAATAAAACCATATACCTGTTTTACCCTCTTCCACTAGCCCATAGACGGGTTATCACCTTGTACCTGGATCTGTCGGCGTTCATACATCGCACAGTATGAGTTGCGGCTGTTTGCTCCAATTCCAAAAAGGCGGCATAGTGCTCATTAGCAATGGGACTCCTGCATTTTTTGGACTTGTTTTGTTCCTGTTCAAACAAATCCAGAGTTTTGTTAAATGTGGCGTGTACCAAAGCTCTGCAAGGCAGGAACCTAACACCTTTCAAGACGTTGTTGTAACTCTCCGACATATTGGTTGTCAATGTGCCCCATCTATGTCCTCCATCTCCAAACAGGGTCCACTTGTTCAAAAGAATTTTGAAAAGGTACTCGTGTGTGTCAGGATTAAATTCATTGAGTCGCTCGTTTGTCTGCTGAACTTTCGCTCCGACAACTGTGAACTCAAATCCCAACACCAATTTCGGATTTTCTTACTCCTAAACTTAGTAAACATGTTGATTCAAAGGTGTCGAAGGCAAATCCGGTGATATGCAGCGGGTTCTTGCCAATCTTCCAATGATTCAATGGCACTGCGTAGGCCCTTATCCTTGTCGGAAAGAATGCAGATCTTTCTGTCGAAGACAACATATAGCTGCAGATTTGTAAGGAAAAATGACCAACTATCCTTGCTTTCTTCATCCACAATCGCATAGGCGATTGGCAATAGCCGCTTATTCGCGGTCTGTGCTATGGCCACAAGATCCACGCAAATGTGTGCCATCGATGCTAATAACCGACGGGCATCTTTGGAAGGTTTGAATGGCAGGACCAAACGCCCAAAATACAAATTTGAATTCTCTGTCTCGAGATTGATGCGTCATTTCCCCACCCTGTCATTCTCACTGTACAACTGTGGTGGGATTTGCTTTTTGAAGCGCGGCAAATAATCTGCACATTACAAAACGTAATCATAAATAGATAAACATAGTGACAAACAACACATATATTTGTAATTAATTTTTGCTTACTGAGGGAGTTCTGCGAAGTTTGATTCCCAACTGCCATACACACGATCAATGACTTTTTTCCTTCCGTGTCATGCCTTCTTATAGCTGACATCAACTTTCTAACACTTTTTCACATCTACCTAGATCATGCTAATCACTATAGTACAATTGCTTTTCAATCTTAATCATTACCAGATTTGAAATCATATTGGCGGTTACATTTTTGTAGTCATTTTTCTCGACCAATTGCATGCAAATGTGTCTATCAGTCCATTCCGTTAATTCCCACATTTCATGAACCCGTTTGCACTTAGTCACCTAAGCCCTCCACATACAAGGTTCATCTTCATTAGATTTGCACACCACTTTTAATGACTTTTTATTCGAATCTTTTGTCCGAGCCGCCCTCAACCTAGCAACGTTCCAAGCCAAGATACCCGTTTGTGCTTCTTCCTTGCTCCTAAATTGTACCCAAGCCTATAGTCTCAATGTATCTATTCCAAAGTGGAAGAGCAAACTCGTTCTCATCTATCTTCGACGGCTGCCATTCACCCATCTCGCGATATATGTGGCGACCACCACTAAGAAAGGGGTGTTTTTCTTCAATCAACTCGGGTGCACTCTCCTCATTTATCGATCTATCTGATTCGCTTTCTGAGATCTCATCTGTGAAATCATCTTCACCAGGAATGAAATCTTCATCACTTTCTTCCCCGTTCTCATTTTCCCATTCTCTCATTGTTGAGCTTGTCCTTTCTCCAAAATTACGTACATGCGAAGTCGACGTACCCTCAACATCAACCACTCCCCCGTAACAAGGCGTAACATCCTCAACCTGTGTAACCTGTGTAATTGCCTCCAACGATAAATGCAAATACACAATGGACATAGGAGGAAAGTAATAAATCCACTGAAGAGTACTATCGTTATTGAGTCTTCCGGCATTCCACGAACCATCGGGTTGGCTAACCATTAAAGTAATCTTCTCAATTGTCCAACCTTCTCCAAACCCACCATTTTCATAAATCATCTCTACCAATTGTTCATATGATATTTTCTCCCCAGTAACAAATGAACCATCCGGGCGTTCTTTAAATAAACCAAAATCGCTTAACATATTCTTGGGAAAATGCCAGTACAAATTAACAAAGTATGGACCGCTATACGCCATTTATACCTGTTGCAACAAAACTTTTTCAATTCTTCCCAATAACAACAACACATAATGTCTAATCCAACACCCAAAAAATTCAATTTTTCTTTTACCATTCTAAATTTAAAACTCATTTTTTTATTCCAACCAAAATAAATATTGCCAACCAAAAAAATATTCCCAATTTTTTTGATCAAATAATTCTCGAAAACCCTAATACCCATAATCCAAAAATAACATAGAATTCATCCATATTTATTTTCAACATCCACCAAAAAACACATCATTCAAGAACAAAGTATAATCATTTAACACAACTATTAAATAAAAAATCAATCTTTTCTAAACAATACTCATTAACCCAACGATATTTCTCAAACATTCATAAACAACAAAAAAATATGATTACATTACATTAAAATAACAACTAACCTCTTCTCCGTAGCGATTGAGACGGTGCTGTTGCTCAAGGTCACCCCTCGATTATCTGATTTTGGGTTGAACGGGGCCGTCGTACCAATTCTACTCTCCGTGGAGTTGTTCGAGGGGGTGGTGCTGCGGGGTGCGGTGATTTTGGGCACTTTCCAGGCGATTTGGGGTCGGGGCTGAGGTCGTGGCACTCTATTGTCCGTTCGGGGCAATTTGATGTTGTGGCCGTGGTGCGGGCTGGCCTGCTGCGGTTCCGGGGTTGGGATTTCGTCTCCGTTAGGCACCCGAGTGGTTTAGACAGTTTTGGGGTCGACATTCTGGCTACAGGATCCGTGGTTGACTTGTTTCCGTTGGTTTGGCTAGGTGTGGTTGTTTAGGAAGGGCCATTTAGTTTATGTCGTTTTGTTTTGTTGATTAGTTTTGTGGTTTAGTGTGTTGTTTTGCCGTGTTTTCGCTTTGTTGTTTTGAGTCTGAGTGTCAACTTATTCTCCTGTTGGGAGCAGACACTCGGGTATTACCCTGTTGGGGTCCTTTTAGTTTTTTAGTGTTGTCGTGTGTTAGTGTTTTTGTGTTCGTTTGTATTGCTCCGTTGGGGCCGGCTCTAGGTAGTCATTCACTGTCCTCCCACTCTATTCAGCAGTTGGCTGATTATATTTAGCTGGTGGCTGTACCTTTGTACATTTCTGTGATTTATATATAATATCTCTATCGTTTCGAAAAAGAAATACGTTTTTAGTTATTTATTTTTTTTATTAAAACGCACGTCAAAATTGCGTTTGATAGATTTTCCTTTTTTTAAAAAAAAAATATATTAAAAAATGCATTTCAAAAATACGTTTTAAGAAAAACGCATTCTCAAAATACGATTTAATAGTTTTTTTTTTTAATTCAATTATAGAAACATAAAATGTATTCCAAAAATACGTTTTATAAACCCTAAAATTAATTTAAGGTTTCATTGAAAATGCATTCCCAAAATAAGGTTTTTCAATTATTTCTGTTTTTCGCTTTCCTCACCTTAAAATCCTTTCCATTCATTTTCTCAGCCACATAAATTATTAGCTAGCGCGCTCTCACTTGTGGAGCCACGACACGTCGTACACCCCCACTTCTCGCCGGCAATTCCACACTCTTACACCCTCCACCATAGATGGCGCTCGCTGTGTCTTCTATAACATCACTAACATTACTCCGGAGTACGCTCGTGCTTTTCTTTTCCACCATTATCTGCTACGATCACCCGATATCGTTGTGTAATTTTGGCCTTATATTTCCGTTTCATTTGCTTGAGACAATATCGATTTTCAGGCGAGCGATTCCCGCCGGTGAAATCATTTGAGTTGCACTCGCGTCGGTTATGGACCTACTCGATGTTCTTTTCAACCTCCGCCAAAAGTCCACAACTCCGTGTTCTTGGTTCGAGCTCCGGTGGAGGTTTTGGCGTCGTTTCTGCCATTTCTGAAACTGAATTTCAGCCTTCCAGTTTCGTTTGGCCTGATAACAGGAAGGTATATCGAAATTTGTTTACCTTTTTTCTTTTTCCTGCATTGAGTTTTGTCCTTAGTCTTGAGTCAGTTGCAGGGCTGGGATGTAATATCCGAGTCGATGTTGGGAATTGATAAATAGAACGTATTCACCATTTTTTGATTGCTTTACTTAATTGAAGCTGTCCCAGCCAACTATGTTCATATATGAGAATCTTTTCATGAAGTTGTAATAATGATCCTTAATTTCATGAGATTCAAATTGTTCGTTCAAAGTACTCATTTGTATGCACATTCCATTTAGATATTCAGCCATTTATCAGAATAATTTAGGGCATCTCCAATGCTCGAATGTTGTGATTGAATAAATTGTGCCAAATGTCAAATTAAATAGGTGGATGCAAACCACATAATATAAATGTTAAGTTTACAATTTCAAAATCCAATTTTTTTCTGTAGTGCCCACTTTAGGTAAATCATATGAGACTTTGCAAAATTTAAATAATTACAAATAAGAAAAACAAATATGGAATAAATTAATAGCTTAAAAATAAGTAAAACATTTTCTACTCTACACTCTTTGTTGATTAGTCAGATGTGGACCACTCAACGCTGTGTGAATGAACTATATCCTGCTCTATATTGTGGACATTAATTATGCGCGTCATCACTGCATTTGTTATTACATTGTGAATTGTAAGGTGGATAGTGGAGCGAATTAATATTAAATTTGGTAGTGTGACATACATTTCATTACAACATATTTGCACTGGAGATGGTCTTAGGACATGAAATTTAACATTTGCAGTGCATGATTTATGTAACAATATATTTATAAGTAAGCAATAACACCACCACCAAAAGGGCCCTATCTTAATATCCGGGTAAATGAAATCCTTATATTTTCCTTTATGATCCAACACTCCTTATGGATAAAGATCATTTACTCTTTCAACATATAAGCGTGGCTTTGTTGTAGCTTCTAAATATTCATGAGTTGATAATGCAATAAAATCCGGAGCTTGATTTCCATTATCCATTTGATCAGAGTATAGCATTCGCTATGGATTCCCATTATCCATTTGATCAGAGTATAGCATTCGCTATGGCTGTAACGTTACCAGTTTATTACGTGAATTTTCTTTCGCTGCTCAACCTAAGGATACTAAACTAAAGCGGTTTCAAGAGTCTGAATATTGCGGAAATTATGTTTTCGTGGAGTATTCCTTGACACATCAAACAGATGTTATTTTCATATAAATGTTCATTCTGTTCAAATTTTGTTATACTTGGCAAAGGTTTTGGTTTCAGTTCCTGTATTATACACATGCAGATTTAACAATATGAAAGCCATGATTCGTCTTGCTTCCGAGTGGACATGTTTATTTGCTTAGTGAGGTGATATCTCTGCCAATTAATATAACTTACTAATTTACATTTAAACTTAACAGTGTGAATTAGTATTCTTCACATCTTTAACTTGTGCTGGATAATTCTAGAATAGTTTACATTTAATCCATGTGTTATCTATGGCTTATGTTGTTGATTGATATTTAGCAATTTAAGGGGGTGCATAATACCTTCAGTACCATGGCATAAATTCAATTTATAATTACAGAGACCAAGAGTGTGCATACTAGGTGGTGGTTTCGGAGGGCTGTACACTGCATTGAGATTGGAATCACTTGATTGGCCAGATGGAAAAAAACCACAGGTAATTGTTGGTTTAAGATCATTTCTATCGTATGTTATAGGTTCTGGCATTAACCATTTTGCACGTAGACTGACTTTTTTGAGTAGTGCAAATGTCTTGACTGTTTTATTGCTGCTTAATAATTGGGATTCTTCTTGTTCAACATCTGAAGATATCCAAGTGTGGGCAGTTAGAATCAAGCATGTTTCTGTAGTGGGAATACGTGTTTATGGTCTTCCCAATCATGGTCAACATATTGATGAGAGTATATGAAGAGCCACAACATGATCTCTGGTTGCTGGTTGAACTTGGTATCCTAAAATCAATGCTCTTGGCGTTTGGTTTACTTAGGGGAAGGAGGAACGAGAAGCAGGCTCATCTACTTTTATTTTACAAATGAAGGAAATCTTGCTAATTTCTCATATGAATTCCGTCTGTAAAATCTAGGCTTGTTTGCATTTAATACCTCAGTCACAGTACTCACTAATTGGTTTATTTAGGATATGCCTGTCCCATATTGTTGCGCTCACTTGTTTTGGGATATTGACGGACCATATTTTTAAAGTTTAGGATAATATGTAATATATTATATGATATATTATTTATCCAATCTCAGAATGGATACGGTTGATGGGTCACCAATGTAATTACTTTCATGGAATATATAGTCTAACATATTGTACCTAATATTATTTATGCAAGTCTGTATTGACTTAATAGTGTTCCATTTCAACAAACCCTCAAGTTTGTGCTAAACTAAATTTAAGGTCCAAGTTATAGAAGCTTGTTGCATGCTTATTTCAATGAGCGATCATACCCGCAGTTTGTAGCTGTGTCTTGCAATGTACTTCCACTTTTTGATTAAATGCAATTAAGATCAAGAAGTCATGTTAAAAACTACATGCACAAGCCCAATCTGTGCAAGATATTAGAAGCGATTAATCTGGTTTCTTTGATGGGCATTGTTACTTTAATAACACGTTAAGGTGTACTATTAGCATAAAGATTCATGTGGAACAAATTATGGACACACAAATGAGGTTGAATGGAGATGAGCTTTGTTCATGGGATTGGAAAGAAATATTTTGTTTAGTACATTATTTCTGGAAAATTGTAAGTTCATGCATATATGCCAGTTGAGGGTTCAACAATATGGTGGATGAATTTGAAAAATTCATGGCAAGATTTATGGTCTTGAGTTGGTATTAGAGATTTTGTATACGTTTCTATTCAACTTGATTGTATTGAGTTTTTTTGTCTTATATTTTTACATGGAGAACTATTGCTTTGTTATTGAAAGCTTTTTACTTTCTACTTTTAATGTATCAGGTGGTTCTTGTTGATCGATCTGAGCATTTTGTTTTCAAGCCACTACTGTATGAACTCTTATGTGGAGGTATACTTGACTTGATTGGGTGAGGGTGCTCTGCTTTCTCTAGCTAGCCTATCCTTCTTCCATTTAGTAATCTGTGTGTTTAACTTGCCAAATGTAGAAGTAGATGAATGGGAGATAGCCCCTCGTTTCTCAGACTTGCTGTCAAGCACTGGTGTGCAGTTTTTGAAGGACAATGTGCAATCTTTACTTCCCTTTGATCAATATGGTATGGATGGGGATGCGTTAACTCATTCCGCTGGAGTAGTGCATCTTGAAAGTGGTCTCCTTATTGAATATGATTGGTATGCATTTATTTGGTTCATGGGAACAATGCTGTTTTTGTCGCTTGACTTTTTAAATTTTGGTGCTGCACCTTCTTACATCTAAGATGAAGTAATGTTAAAAGGTTGAGCTGAACTTGTCAAAGTTATGCTTCCTAGTTCTCATTTACCATTTCCATTTAATCGAACAGGAAACTAAGGATGGGACCTGTCAAAATATTTGATTGATCTTATCTGGCTAGACTTTGACCGACATAAAGCCATTTAATCCTGATCCCCCTAGTCCAAGCATTACTCAAGATTTATTTGATTGTGGATTTCTTTCTCAGTGTGTGTCATTCTCTTTATGTTTATTGTTGATGTTTCACCTCAAGCTTTGCCTGTTTGTGGAAACCCAATTACAACAACAACAACAACATAGCCTTTTAGTCCCAAAACAAGTTGGGGTAGGCTAGAGATGAAACCCAAGAGAACCAATGGTAAGAGAAACACAAAAAGGGGCTCAAAACAAAAGGAAGAGATTGGAGCAAAAGAGAAAGAGGCAAAAGTCACGGTTCTGGCACGTTGATTGCTAGCCTCCAAACGCTCCTATCCACCGCTAAATCCTTGGAGATATTCCAATCTTTAAGGTCTCTCTTAACCGACTTCCCAAGTGAGTTTAGGCCGACCTCTACCTCTCTTTACATCATCTTTACATCATCGACCCGCTGAAGAACTCCCCTACGCACTGGTGCATCAGGAGGCCTCCGGTGGACATGTCCTTTTAAAAAATTGGGTAGGAGTATTTATTAGGTAAAGTCATGCTCGTGAGGGTGTTTGTAACACTTCCATGAAGTATTTGAAATTTTAAAACCTCAAGCGCAACTTTTTGTAACTATGCGAAATGTGGGCTGATCGGTATTTCTTACTTCTGAAAGTATTCATTTCGAAACGTTAAAATCACCTTCCTCTAGGTTGATGATTGATTTTATTCTCCGAAGAGGGCTAGTTTTATACGATCTGCAGACATCTCAATGACTTGCAATAGGTGGAGATGTGGATCATCATCATTCAAAGGGGGCCCTATTTCTTGGATTTTGCATTTGGTTATGCACTTGTTCCTTGAATCCATGATGTTGCTTCTGGCATGTTATCCATCTACCAAATTCTGGAATAATATGCTGATGAGGAACATGTAAAGGACTAGTTTTGGGCTGTGACGAACGTTTGATCGGTGTTCGTTGGCAGAAATCAAAACGGACGTGAGTTTTGCATTTGGGCTAGGAGTTGATATTATAATGTTTCCAGAAGTGGAACAATGATTTGACTGAACCTATCGCCACTAGCAATGGACTATAGCAATGGACTAAGTGGTCCTGGTCCCAATTTCCTCTTCCGGCTTTGACCCTTTTATTATTTCTAACATTTCCTATTTCATTTAGGATTTTGGGCCTTTATGGCTGGAAAAATGTTTACCAATTTACGAAATATGGGAGGAAGATCATGTTGTCATTGAGGTTTAAATACAAAATTAAACCGCAGAGGTAGAAAATAGCTTGGAATTTAATTGGTATGAGTCGAAGTTGGTGCACATGCTCGAGCTGCTAAAGAGATTTATGCCTTAGTGGTTAAAGAGGCAGTTCTGACTGGGGTTGTGAATCATGTGAGATTCCAAGTTCCGTGCGGAGATTGTGACAAATTTTATGATTTAGTACCTAAGGATCTTTTTTTTTTTAGCTTCCACCAATGAGAAATATCACTTGTGTGATTTGATTCCGAGAGCAACCTTATCAAAATTTCTCCATTATCGAATGTGTCATAAGGAGAGTGAGATATTGCAACAAATGGTGGAAGGGTTGTGGTTAAGGGATTAATCTTGGAGAGTAGGAGCCCTTGTGCAGTTCTGGTTTTACTAACTCTAAAGTAAGATGGGTCTATGTCTGCAGGTAGTCAGACTATAAATAAGGTTATTGTACTTTATCGGTTTTTAATTCCATGGTTGGAGGATATATTGGATAGGATGTTCGGTGTGCTTGATAAATGAGGTGCTTCCGGTGAATTTGTTGTGGTTTACTTTAATGATATTTTGTTCTATAACGTTGATGAGGTTTAGCTCATGGAGCATTTGCTGCAGTTGTTGGTTGTGTTGTATGTTAATAAACTTTTTATCAATCTCAAGAAGTGCAACTTCTAACAGACAAGCCTTCTCTTTTTGGAATTTTTCTGTGGTGTTTGTGTAAATGAGAATAGGATTAAGGCGATGCGACAATGGCATGTGCCAAAATCCACCGATGAGAAATATCTATCTTGTGATTTGGTTTTACGATTAATTTTTATTTGTAGTTTCAGCATGTCAGTAGCTCCATCAACAGACCCTTTGGTTAAGGGGAAGTTTTAGTGGAGTTTGAAGGAGCTCGAGCTGTTGAAGAGAAGCTATGCACGGCTCCCGTGCTCGCATTTCCTGGTTTCAAAATATAATTTGTGGTTGAATATGATGTATGTGGAGTTGGGATTGGTGCAATCCTTTCTCTATCCAGTGGCTTATTCTAGTGAGTATTTCAGTGAGAAGTTAAGTGATACTCGACGGAAGTGGTCGATATACACCTAGAGCTTTATGCTGTTATTCGAGCTTTGAAGCACTAAGAGCATTATCTTATTCGAGATCACTTCGTCTTGTATACCGATCATTAAGTCTTGTTGTAAATCAACAACTTGAAGAAGATTAGCCAAATGCATGCGGTGGGTTGCTTTACTTGTGACAATTTCCTTTCACGTTGGATCATAAGTCATGTAATCAGAATAAATTTGGAGATGCTTTGAGTCGGCGTGCTACTTTGTTGATTACAATGAATCATGAGGTTAAAGGTTTTGAGGTTCTTCATTATTTATATGCTGCTGATGAAGACATAACATATGGAGAAAACTTATTTTCGAGGATTTTCACAAGCATGATGGGTTTCTCTTTAAGGGGAATCAATTATGTATTCCATGTACGTCTTTGAGAGAAGTTGATTTCTAGCGTGCATGGTGGTGGTTTGAGTGGGCATCTGGGTCGAGAAAAGACTTGTTAGTCTCGGTGATATTACTGGTTTCAATAAAAAATGGAGGTTAGGCGGTTTGTGAGTCATAGCTATGTTTTGCCAAATAACTAGGAGACAAGTGCTAAATAATGTGGGCTCTACATGCTTTTGCATGTTCTTGCAGCTGGGAGGATCTTGTTAAGATATCATTGGAAAATTCTTCTTAATCCCTCTTTCTTATGATTAGTAGATTGTAATTAGGGCTATTGATTTATTGTAATTTTATTTAAGTCCCTATAATCAGCCTGTACAATTTTTCCTATATAAACATGCTTGCTGAGAGTCTTTCTCAAGCAATTCATTTTCATGACTATCCTCTCAATGTCTGGTATCAGAGCCCACAATCCATGGGCCTGATTTTTTTGTTGTTCTTCATCACTAAGAAAATCAGAGAATCAGCCATAATTTTTTTTTTAAATGTACAAAAACCTTTGCTTCAGTTTTCTCACCGAAACTGAAGCTCCCGCTGGTCGAGAAAGGTCAGACAAATTCGTCGGTTTCATATCTGCTGGCCGCTGTCTGATTGTTAACGCGCCTCCATGCGCAGGTCCTTCAGCATTGACTCTCATTACTGACGGATGTCTCTCTGTTGAGGCTTACCTTGTGGGTCTGTTTGAAGCTTCCTTCCAGAGGCTTGTTCGTGAAATTGCCAGGACATTTCCTTTGCCTTGGTCAGTTTATGTGTTATGTATTTTTCAATCGAGTAGGTTATATGGCAATGTCTCTCATTTACTGGTACTCCTACCATTACTTCTGAGAAGAGGGAAACATTATATGGATTGTTAAAATGTCGTAGAAATTTTGTTTCGTGGTCAAGGTTTGTTTGATCACTTGGAAAAGAAATTCGAAGAGATTGATGCCTCAAAGCGTGAAAAATGGATACAAGTTGATTATCAAATAGTTTCCATATTGTGGCAATCCATTGATCCTAAACTGATGGTCCACTTTTGTACCTATAAGTCTTGCTATGATGTATGGAAGAAAGCTCAGAATGTATACTCACGTGATATTCAACACATTTATGATGTTCATAATTTGGCTACACTTCAGATGACGGATCAAGATCTTCGTTCTTGTTTTAACAAAGTTCAGTCTACTATTGATGAACTCAAAAAGCTTACTTTGTGATGACCTCACCAAGACGACTACCAAACTAGATCAGATGTGTATCAGATGTGTATGGTGTTCATTCTTCATGGTCTTCACAAAGATTTTGAGTCTTTTCATAACCAAATTCTGACAAATCCTAGTGTCCCGTCATCAATTGATATTATTGACCATTTGCTGCGTGTTCCTCAACCTAGGGTCATAGTGGATGTTCGTTCTTAGATCGGTCTAGAATCATCCGCCTTCTTCGCTGAATGTGAACTTGGAGGCCGAAGCAATGGTAGATGACGAGATGTACGTGGAGGTTGCCCACAACGCTCATATTGTAAGCCTATGGGACACACACGATGTTGCAGTTGAATGGTTTTCCTAAAAGAACGACGAATTTAACTTATTCAGAGCCTTCCGAAGAGGTTAAAGTAAGAAATCAAAATGTTTTATCAGATGCTAAATATGAGGTGTTCCTTCAGCTTATGGTAGCTCAACCAGCTTTAGCAATCGTTTCACACACTGGTAATGCTACCGTTTGTTTCTCTCGTTCGTCGTCATCTGTCGGTTCTTGGATCTTGGATTTGAGATTTGGGTGCTTCAGATCATATAGCTGGTAATCCCTTCCTTATCTCAAAACTATCTCAACCAAAATTTCTCAATATATCACCCTTGCTAACGGTTCTAGAGCTAAAGTCATGGCTATTGGCCTAACTGCCCCTCTTCCTTCATTTTCTTTAAATTCTGTTTTTGTTCGTAATTCTCCTTTCAATTTAGTTTCAATCAGTAAACTTACCCGTGTACTTGATTTATGCATAAATCTTATTGTTCCATACTCTTTTCATATACAAGACCGGAGTACGAGACAGACGATTGGTACAGGATATGAATCACATGGTCTACTACTTTCCATCTCCGCATCCTAAGTAAATTGAAAAAAATGGTTCAAAGTCTTCAGAAGTTGGAGCCCTTAAGTTGTGAGTCGTGTCAGCTTGGTAAACATGTTAGGTCTACTTTTTCTAATAAATTTTGTAAGTAGTCCACTTTGCCTTTTCATCTCGTTCATTCAGATGCCTGCTGGGTCTAAGTCGAGTCACTTTTGTTTTAGGTTTTAGGTATTTCGTCACTTTTATTGATGATTTTTCAAGATGCACTTGGATTAACTTAATGAAGGAACATTCAGAATTATTTACTATTTTCCAAAATTTATGCAAAAAAAATCAAACTCAATTTGGCATTTTTTTTTTTCGTATTTTACGAAGTGATAACGCTAAAGAATACTTTTCTGATTCTTTTAATCAATTTGTAGCTTTTCAAGGAATGATTCATCAATCATGGTGCCCTCACACCCTACAACAAAATGGTGTTGCAGAAAGAGAATATCGTCATATTATTGAAACTACTACTGCTGGATATCTAATAAATAGAATGCCCTCATCCTCTTTAAACAACAAAATACCCTATTCCATATTCTTCCTTTATGAACCTCTCTTTCATGTTCGCCCCCGTGTGTTTTGTTGTACGTGTTTTGGTCATGATCTTACTAGTGACCTTGATAAACTAAAGGCCCGTGCTGTTAAATGCATTTTCCTTGGTTATTCTTGAGTACAGAAAGGATATGTATGTTATTCTCCCTCACACCGTTGCTTCTATATATCAGCGGATGTCACCTTCTTTGAAGGCAATCCATTCGTTGCTCCTTCACCAACAATCACCCTAGAGTCTATCATTAAAGTATTCCCGATTTCTTTTACATTAGTAGATAGTGAATCAATATCCATACCTATCTATCAATCTACTCAACCTTTAATTACTTATCAACGTCGCACCCTTCCCTCACCAATTGTGGAGATCCCTACCAATGAGACAAATGTTACATCTTCTGTTCCAAGCTTCGTACCGGCTCCGATCCCACCTAAAACACATGTAGATCTTCCCATTTCTCTTCGCAAAGGTCATCGCTCCACTTCTAATCCACATCTTATTTATAATTGCTTCAGTTATCAACACATATCTTCTTCCCATTATGCCTTTATATCTGTTATTTCCTTTATGGCTATCCCTAAGACTAAGACTGTACATGAAGCACTTTCTCACCTAGGATGGCTCTAGGCTATGATTGACAATATGACAACCCTAGAATCTAACTAGACATGGTCTCTTGTTCTCGTGGGAAATCAATAGTTGGTTGTCGTTAGGTGTTTATACTGAAAGTGGGCCCTCATGGTCAGATTGATCGTCTCAAAACTCGTCTTGTAGCTAAAGGCTACACTCAGATATTTGGTCTTGATTATGGTGATACTTTTTCTCTAGTAGCCAAGATGACATCTGTTCATCTTTTTCTATCCATGGTCGCGATGCGTCTTTGGCCGCTCTATGAGTTAGATATGAAAAATGCTTTTCTCCATGGTGATTTGGTCGAGTAAGTGTATATGGAGCAACCACCTGGATTTTGTTTCTCAGGGGAGTCAACTGACTTTGTTTGTCGACTGCATAAAGCCTCGTATGGTCACAAGCAAAGTCCTCGTGCATGGTATGGGAGATTTAGCACAATTTTTTGGGAGTTTGGTATGTTTCGCAGTGAAGTTGGCCATTCAGTTTTTTATAAGGATTCTTCAACAAATCAGTGCATTTAATTGGTCGTCTATGTGGACGACATTGTTATTAGGGACGATGATCATGGTGGCATCCAACGTTTGAAGCAATATTTATTTCAACGTCAACTAAAATATTTTCTTAGTATTGAGAAGCTCAGTAAAAATTCAGAGTTGCCATTTCTGAAAAAAAACATACTCTTGATTTATTGGAAGTAACTGGTATGCTCGACTGTAAGCCCGTTGATACCCTTATGGATTATGCCGGATCAGGGAAGAGCTCATTGCAGACCCCGGTAGATATCAAAGACTGGTTGGGAAATTGAATTATCTTACGATGACTAGACCTGACATATTGTTAGTGTTGTGAGTCAATTTTTAACGTCTCCTCGTGATTGTCATTGGGATGCTTTGGTCTGAATTCATTACATTAAAGGATCTCCATGAAGAGGGTTGATATATGAGAATAGAGGTCACACTAATATTGTAACATATGCAGATGCGGATTGTGCCGTATCCCTACATGATCGACGATCGAAATCTAGGTATTCTGTTCTTGTTGGAGGCAATCTTATCTTATTTCCTGAAAAAGCAAGAAACAAAATGGTGTTGCTAGATCCAGTGTCGAGGCCGAGTATCGAGCTATGGTCTTTACGACATTGAGCTTATTTTGGCTGAAACAACTTCTTGCCGAATTGAAATTCTGCGAATTGCAAGTCATGACTCTTAATTGTGATAATCAAGCACTGTTACACATTCCATCAAACACAGTGTTTCACGAAAGAACCAAACACATTGAAGTTGATTGTCATTTCATTTGTAGGAAGATTCTTTCAGAGAGATAACTACATCGTTTGTAAATTCTAATGATCAGTTTTAACCAAGTCCCTTGGAAGTCCAGGAATATCTTACATATGCATCAATCTGGATGCTTGTGACGTTTATGCACCAGCTTGAGGGCTTGAGGGGGAGTGTTAGATATACTTGGAAAATTCCTTTTAATCTCTCTTTCTTATAATTAGTAGATTGTTTATTGTAATTTTATTTAGTCTCTATAATCCAGGGATCTTGCCTGTACAATTTTCCCTGTATAAACATGGTTGTCGAGAGTCTTTCTTAAGCAATTCATTTTCACGACGACTCTCCTCTCAATATTTAATTCTTCTTCTCAAGAGATTTGTTCATGGATTTTGTCCTTGGTCTACCTCGTATCCAGCGTAGAGTTGATTATGTGTTTGTTGTGGTTAATCGGTTCTTCAAGATGGTGCACTTTATTCCTTGCAAAAAGTCGTCGGATGCTTCACATTGCACGATTGTTCTTTAACGTGGTTGTTTGTTTGCATGGTGTGCCCAAGTCCATTACTTCGATATTAAGTTTCTAAGTCACTTTTGGATGTCTTATGTGTAAGTTCGATGCATCATTAGTTTTTAGTAGTAACACACACTTGCAGACTGATGATGGGCAAACTCAGGTTGTTAATTGGACTCTTGGGAACCTTATTCGTTGTATATCTAGTGAATGGCCAAGGCAATGAGATCATGCCTTGGTGGGCAGAGTTTGCCTTCAATAATGTGGATCATAGTTCCTCGGGAAAGTCAACCTGCTGTTGTTAACCAAAAGGTGCCGCGACATGCAGTTGATTTAGTGAAGTTGTTGTTGGTTGTTGGTTAGGGAACGACCACGACAAATTTGGCTATAGCTTCGCTAGAGATACAAGCGGAAGTTCTTGATAAGTTGCTCAGGAATTTAAAGAGGCGGCTAATAAGCATCGACCTGTTATTCAAGTTTGGGGATCTCGTGATGGTTTTTTATCGTCACGAGGCCATTACCATAAGCTGCAGCTGAAGAAGTATGGGTCATATGAGATTGTGCGTATGATTAATGATGATGCATGTGTGGTTGGCTTGCCGGAGTCAATGGGCATTTCTCACACATTAAATGTGGCTGACTTGCCCACTAAATATTCCCGAAGCCTTTTTTTTAATCCAAATCACTCGGGGTTGAGTTCTTTTCAAGTGGGTTAGATTGATGTCGAACATGTAGAGGGCGAATTTGGTGCTGCTGAAGATTGATCAAAGGGTGTTAGTCGATAGAAATCAAAACGGACGTAATTTTTGCATTTGGGCTTGGAATGCAATTATAATATGTTTTCAGAAGCGGAAGGATGATTCTGACTGAATCCATCGCGTGGACCGAGTGGTATTGGGCCCCAAATTCCATTGCTTGCACCCCCATGCTATCCCATTTACAGTTTTTAGTATTTCTTATTTTATTTTTTTCTTTATTTATATTTCATTTAGATTTTGGGGCCTTTATATATGCCGCTTTGTTTTGATATTGGAGACTTTACGTTCAGTTTTACAAATACATCTTTCTTTCGTTAGAAGTACTCGTCTTCTATGCTTTATCTTCCTGTGCTATATATTTTTGTGTTCTGTGTTAGTCCATTTACAATTTTTAGTATTTCCTATTTTGTTTTTTCTTTATTTCTATTTCATTTAGATTTTTGGGCCTTTATAAATGCTGACTTTGTTTTGAGATACTGGAGATTTATATTTAGTTTTATAAATACATGTTTCTTTCGTTTGAAGTACTTTTGTCTTCTATGCTTTATCATCCTGTGCTATATATTTTTGCAACTTGGTCAAATGTTTCAACCTTGGATATGCAAACGATATGATTCTATACTCTTGTTTCCACGTATACATAAATATATATTTCCAACTATATCATCTATTTTAAGTTGTACTGGCACCTAGTAAGCGATTCATATGATTTCTCTGTTCTTATACTTAAAATGTTCATGTGAAGCAATACTTCAGTTTTGGCATTTTTATGATGTCTCCTGATTCTATCCCATTTGATCAGGTTGGTACTTGCTCTTGGAGCTGAAGCTAAACTTGATGTTGTGCCTGGTGCAACAGAATATGCATTGCCATTTACCACTCTTGAGGATGCTCGTGTATGTATCTAAACTATATCCGCTGACTTTCATGTTACGTGTTATAGAGATCTGATGGATTTAACTCTAACCTTCTCTATATGTTGGTATTCTTGGGGCAGAGGGTCAATGAGAAGCTAAGAACACTTGAGCGTGAATTCTTTGGTAAGGACTCTCCAATTAGAGTTGCGGTAGTTGGATGTGGTTACTCTGGGATTGAATTGGCTGCCACAATATCAGAAAGACTGCAAACAGGGGGAGTTGTACAAGCAGTCAATGTTCAGAAAACCATCTTGCCGAATGCTACTCCTGGCAATCGGGAATCTGCATTAAAAGTAAGACATGCAATTTTTTGGGTACTGAATCTATCTGAAATTTTGGTTTCTGATGAATCACATATTTATTTTTTCTTCTTAAAAAAAATCATTTTTTTTTTAAGAAAACCAAATTTTCTGAAATTTTGGTTTCTGATGAATCACATAATTATATAGCTTGGTTTTGGTTATAAATGGTGCTTGAAAGTTCTATCTACCATGTTCGCTTTTGCAGTGTTTTCAACATCTGAGTGCTTCTTGTAGTGTTCACGTAACTGCTGCATAAAAATAATTTCTTGTACTCTCAAGTTCTATGTCATGATCTATCATTTGCTCATAGAGACTAGAGAACTGATTCTTTCAGTTTTATTGACCGTGTTAATTTGGTTTTGAGCTTCGTTCTGTTAGTTTCTTTGTTCCTCCAAAATTAAATACTAGTATTTAGGGCAAAACATTTAGCAACATGTACTATACGTGTTTCTGGACTTTGCAATCTATAATATTTATTTTTGTAAAACGTTACCTGAATTTCATGAACATTCATAATCTGCAACCTCTCTCGTACATCTTGACCATACACGTGAGTGTTTTGGTGGATGATTGTATGGTGAAGATGTACTAGAGGTTACAGGTTATGAATGTTCATGAAGTTTAGGTTGCATTTTTACCAAAAAATTAAATAAAAAAACGTTAGGTTGCGAAGTTCAAAAACACATTACAGGCTCCAAAAAATGTTTTACTCTTATATCATCACCATCATTATATCATATACAGATTGCTCCTTTCTGAATTATTACAAAAGTAAAATCCCGAAAACTAGCTTAAGAGTGTTATAACTTGTTGACTTGTAGTATATGGATTTGATGTTAACGCACATTGAAGAGAGAATATCACAATTCAAGTAAAATCAAATTTTGCACAACTTCTTTGTTCGGATTCTTTCTACGTCCATCAGCTACTTTTGAGAATGTTGATGTGTGGGAAGTTTCTCCAAGCTAATGAGTAGGTGAAGAGGTGAGTTACTGGATAGCTTTTCTCGAAAAAATCCGTAGAAGAAAAATAATTTACTTGAAAAAAAAATGAAACAAGAAAAACATAGAGAACAGAAAAAGAACCATCGGCTCTTCAAGAGTACCAACCTTCAATTTCAGAACTGGAAGATCATGTAAGGTGGGTCCTACTTCCAATTGCTTGTTTCATGTGTTGGATAAACCTATAACGACATAAAATTAATCGGTCACTCGGTCTTAGTGCTCATTT